TGCAGAATCCTAATTTCTATACGCTACAGAGACGACAATCTTTAATATACACATATATTGTTGCAATATTGAAAACGATATTTATACATAATTTATACATAATTATGAAAATGGAAAATAAAATATTTATTTTATATTTATATTTATTTTACAAGTGATCTTCGGTTTTTTTTTAAATAAAAAATCATTTTACATTTTATATTTCTAAAATATGTACATATTTTAAATGAATATATTACCTTTATTCAAATGTTATTTATCTCTCCAGAATCCTGATAGTATTCGTAAATATCGTTTTCACAGAGGTTCATGTATTTATTTATAATATAGGCAATGATTATGAAAAATATTTGAATTTAATATTTGAGCAATTAAATAATTATAAATTTATTTTATTTTATGAAATGAAAGTAATGATTGTATTCAATGAAAGTAAATATATCCTCAAGAAAGGTTAGAAAAAGTTTTTCAGTTTTCAATTTTTTAATTATTATATTATAAAAAAATAATTTAAATTAAAATATTCGTTAAAATTTTTTTCGATACAATTTAATAATAATAATATTCGTAAATTTTTTTGATATAATTTTTAATATGTAGTTTTATCTATACTAATACTGGAATGAAATGAAATGTCGGTTCTTCGAAACATCACTCCAAGGGGTAAAAACATTTTCAGTCACTCACACTTCCTATTTTTTCCCCACCGCACGAGATATGACGTGAGAAGAAGAATAGCTTTCAAGATCCGAAATAACACTTTCGATCAGTCGTAACTTAAACTTGACCACAGTCAATGGTTCAAGATCGAGAAATGATAAAAGTTTCACAGCATCCGAATAATCTCGTTTCCAAATTGCTTCCGGAATAACGCGTTTATAGTCGCACATTTTAACTTTACTATTCTCGCGATTATTCCTCATATATCACTTTTTCGACGTATAAAAATGTTATTTTCAATCTTATCAATGACGTGGACATGGATCGGATGTGCCAAACCGCGTGTACACGAGACGGAAAGAACAATTGGGTCGAGCGTGTGTCGCGTCTTCACGTCGCCAGAAGTGTTTTGACATTTTTCTCAAGTAGCTGTGTATGTGTGTCAGCCAAATTAATACAAAATGACCCATATAATGTTGCTGATTACGGTGGTTCTACAGGACCTGATCGTTGCTAGTTCCTTGAATATTTGTTGCTTATCGAATATTTGTTGAATATCTTGAACGAAAACTTGTTATTCTTTAGATAAAATGAAGTTTGAGTTTGATAAAAGTGAAATTGATTTATCTTAAAATAAATATATAT